ACTTATATTCTATCAGGGCCGACAACATGTACATCTATGTATATATATACATGACACTTGTACAAGACACTTTAAAAGCAGATTCAAGGTTACACAGTGGCAGTTGAAGGGACCAAGAAAAGCTTCCTGCCAAGAATGGCTTGACCTAAGTCTTAGAGATGAGGAGGGAGAGCATTCTTGGCGTGAGAGAGAGTGTTCAAGGGCATGGAAACAGGAGGAGAGTCTTGTATGAGGAACTGCAAATAGGCCAGTATGGCTGGACTCTGCAGAGTGAAGGGAGAGGAGGAGTGTGTAAGGAGCCTGGAGAGGTAGGAAAGAGCCATCTTATGAAGAGTTTTAAATGACTGAGGAATCTGTATTTGATCCTAGAGGTAAGATGGAACCAGTAGAGTTAATTGAGTAGGGAGGCGACATGGTCAGATCTGCATTTGAGGAAAATCACTCTGGCACCTGAGGGTGGATTAGAGTGGGAAAGAGTCTTGAGGCAGGAAGAACAATTAGGAGGCAATTGCAATAGTTCAAGCCTGAAGTACTTAGGGTCTGAATTAGGGGGATGGCTATGTGAATAAAGAGAACGGACTATAAACTAGAGATGTTGTAGAGGAGGAAACAACAAGATTTAGCAATTGATTGTATTTGTGGGACGAGAATGAGGAGTCACTAAGGTTGCCAAGCTAGATAACTAGAAGAGTGATGGTACTGTTAGCAGTAAAGGGGAAGTTCAGAAAAGGGATAGGTTGGGGAGAAAAAATAACAAGTTCTGCTTCTGACAGATGGAGTCTAAGATGCCAACAGCCCACACTGGTAATGTGGGACTAGAAGTTAAGAAAAAGATTGGACCTAGACTAGATCTAGGAGTTACCTGCATAGATACCATCATTGAATGCTGATGAGGCCACTAAATGAAAGAGTCAGTGAGTCAGTTGATAAACATTAAATGCCAGCTATGTACCAGGCACTGTATTATGTGTTGGGCATTCAAAGAAAGGCAAAAGACAGTCCCTGCTGTCAAGAAGACATAAATTTAATGAGGGAGGCAACATGCAAACAACTATACATAAATAAGCTATATGCAGGATGAATTGGAAATATTCACTATAGAGAAGGTACTAGAATTAAGGAAGTTGAGAAAGGCTTCCTGTTCAAGGTAAAATTTTGGATAGGACTTAAAGGAAGCTGGGAGGCAGGGATGAGGAGGGACAACATTCCAGACATAGAGGACAGTTAGAGAAAATCCCAGTTAGGAGATGGAGTGTCCTGTGTAAGGAACTGCAAAGAGGGCAGTGTCACTGTTTTGAAGAGCACGTAAAGAAATGTAAAGTGTAAGAAGACTAGAAAGGTAAGGAGGGTGGGCAGGTTATGAAGGGCTTTAAATGAGAAACAGAGCGTATTTTATTTGATCCTAGAGATGAAAGGGATCCCCTGGAGTTATTGAGTGTGTGTGTGTGTGTGTGTGTGTGTTTTTCAGGGAGAGATGATATGGTAAGACCCATGCTTAAAGAAGATCACCTTGATAGCAGGATCAAGGATGGTGTCTTCTTGGAGTCAGATTTCTCAACTTTCCATCATTTTTGTCCTCCTTTTTACCAGGGAATATAACTAGCTTCCCTAAGAGCACCAGGTGGTTGAGATGTTTCATCATTGCCCATCCCTGTTTTCCAATGATATTTTGTAGACTGAAATACTGCCCAATATTTTAATTATTTGGAATGTGGTAGCTCTTCACTGGCCCACTACCTTATGTTTTCCTGGATACCAAGATTTCATGTAACAATATGTTCCCTAGTTGGAGCTCCTGACAGCAAACTCAAGCATAATGCCATTGGGCTAGTTAGAACCTATTTCTCTCTGAGCTCTTGTGAACTGAGGCCATAGCTAGGTAGCAGGCCTCTCTCACTCAAACAATGTACTTGTCCGTCTCTGAGACTTTCAAACAAAGATTAATAAGCAGTCATTAGGCAATCACTGTGATATATTATGCATGTATTAAAATAGCCACTGAGCTTTCTATTCAGGTTTTGAGGCACCAAGCACATAAAATAGTGTGCAAAACTGATCTACTTTTACATTTCTTGATTCTTGCCAAGTATAGTATTTTCTTAAGTAGCTTACTTTCAAAATTGGGACCTTCATCAGAATGAATTCTAGCAGGGATACATGTAGAAATACTTCTCCCACAGTACTAACCCTAATGTGGAAGTATTATCGTTCCTGCTTAGGTAGGCCTGTTCATAATGGCTGAAGTGACCCAACATTACTACAATGCTGTTTATGTTCTTCTTATTCCCTTCCACAGATAAAAAAATCTATGCAGATCAATTTCAAAGTCTTCAGGTTCTCCAAGGAAGCAGCTTAAGTTGGTAGTGCTTTACTTTGTACACACAGAACATAGGTCTCACATTTCTCATATGTATCTGCTGCAATTTTGGACCAATATTTTGCAACAGCTCAAGAGTTTTGTGTTGGCCCAAGTGTCTAGAACCATCATAGAGGATTTTAATAGGCATGAATCAGTGGGCCTTGGATGTATCAACTGCCTTCTCATTCCCCTTATAGGGATCAATTGTAATTCAATATACTAATACAGTAATAGTTTCAACTTCTTCCAGTCCTTCAATAGTATAGCACCCTAGAGAAGCTAAACTTGGCTTTCTGAGAGCCATGCTCTTTTTTCTTTAGATCACTTCTTGTAAACCTTCATTCTGCAGCAACACGCACTACCAATCACCAAAGAACAATCAGGGAAGGTATATTCAGTCCATTTACATCTATTATGCCACCCTGTCTAGAGAAAGTCCCAGCTTCTCAGTTTCACTCTTTGTGCATGAGTGATTCTGATCCCTCCATGTCACATAGATCATCATCACTCTTTCTATGAGCATCATTAAGGTTTCTGATGCATAGGGACTATGACATAGCACAATTGCATCTAAAACGTTGGTCTTCTCTGGCAAGCAAAGTAACCTTGAACTCAGTTGGCCGGTGATGCTAATCATCTTTGGCCGGCAGCATGTAACAGCACTCATCAAACTATGTCAATAAATTATTGTCCATTCCCATTTGTAATCAAGTTCTGTAAATATAGTCCTGACTGCCCACTTCAAAGTCACGAATACCAATAGATGGACTGGATCAGGGGTAGGGAACCTGCAGTCTTGAGGCCACACGTGGCCTTCTAGGTCCTCAAATCCCGGATTTGTTCTGTGAAGTTTGGATTCAGTCAAAGGGTCTCACTTGAGGACCTAAAGGGCCACATGTTCCCCACCCCTAGACTGGATAATGAGTTTCCCTATCAGGGAGGTCTGTAGTGGTAAGTTTCTGTTGGCTATTTGATATCAAACTGCTTTTAAGTTCTCTAGGCTGATACACCCATGCAAACAAAAGATTTATTTACATCTACAAAAGCCAATGTGGATGAATATGTGAGACAAGGAAAGGAAACAGTAAAGGCCAGATCAGATCCTGTTCCAATGATGTCCAAATGGTGCCATGAGATTCAAGCCGGATGAACCCTTTTATTGTCCTTCCTTTTTTGGTTCTTCTCAACCATGTACACATGGATGAGATTGTTGAGACACTTTGCAATGATGGTATAGTTTTTGATAAATTTCCAGGAACAGCACTGGATCCTAGAATCATCCTTAGCTTTCAAAAATTCTTCAGATGTCGGCAAGTGATGTGCAATTACATCTTTTCAGGGATAGTATTTTCCTCCCTGCTAAGATACAATGTGAGGCTCTAAAGAAACTATACTTATCAACTGACAGTTTTAGACCAGTGGTTTTTTAAACTGATCTAATACCTGCAATAATCTTTCCTCATGCTTTTCTCAATGTTATGTCCAATACACTACAAACAGTTCATGTCATACATCACTTTTTATATGAACTATTGAAAAGTGACAGAGGGAAGGGTCCTAGAAATTATTTGGGTCAAATGTCCAAAGTGGTAGAATCTCACTGGACAAAGGAAGGCCATTTCTTCCTTATAGTCTTGCCAATGAGATCTTTGTATTCACTGCAGAGGTCCAATCCTGAAAATCACTAGCAACCCTGAGAAAAGTCTGTCAAGGCATTTTTAACTCCTGATAAGGTATAGTGTTCTACCTTAGAAAGCTTGATAGTTCACAAATATCTTTAATAATGAAACATACTTCCTCCTTCATGGAAGAGAAATGGGGGCCTACTAGGACAGAATATTGTCTACACTGTTGGACATAGGTTTAGTATCAAAGACTCAACGCTTCATTGTTTTTTCTTTGTCATAAGGGAGAGTTTACTTTGGATGTAAATTATCACAATATGTGAGGCTTTTCAAAAGTATGAGTTATGAAAGCAAAAAAAAAAAGCCAGTTTGCTTAAGCAAAGATTGAAACAGGCACTGTGAGAAAAGAAAGAAAAATTTACATTTAGGTTTTTGTATTTTTAAAATGTTGATCCATATTATATACATTTTGCTTACAATTAGTTATTGTAGTGAGTAGTTAAATTTTTGTACTCTGAATTTTAATTGATTTCTATGTTTAGAGAACTAAATAAGTTTAACTGGATCATAGCAGCTACCTAAATTCCAAGCATAGTGATTAGAAGGAATTAACCAACTGTTTAAGAACTAGTTTGCAAACTCAAACTTGTTAGGGGGCAGTAAAGATCATAAGTACTATCTTGCCCTGTTTGTAATTCATTCCCTAGTAAGGTGCTTAGAATGAAGTATTAATTTAAGCTTCTAGAAGTGGGATAATATTCAAAGCATCACAGCAATTCTTTAGTGGCCCTAAGAGTCATTATACCTGCCATGGGATGTGTAGCTGACGACTTGGGACATGAAACAAAGAGCAATTACATGCTAAACTATGTGGTATTGACTATTAATACCATAGGACAGACCATTTTTGCTAATACTAAGGAGACTACTGATTTTAATGAAATTAAATGAATTTATAATAACAAGAAAGCACAACAGTTTTACTACATTAACCCAGAAGCAGTAAGTTTTCTTACTTGAGATTTAAGGTTTTGAAGTTGTCCTTCATAGTTCTGAGTCATTACATAGTTACATTTTTCCAGACTGTCCAATTTCTGTCGAAGTAACCCCACCTGTATCAAGATAATAATTTGAATATTCTGCTACGTTTTGTCTGATAGGATAGAAAATGTGTAAAAGATAAGTAATTGAAAAAAGAGAAGTGGAAGTCAGGTTTAACTCCTGTATCAACACAAGGCTAAATATTTGTACTACAGTTTTCAAAACAAATTGGTAATAATTATACTCTTAAAAACTAAACTTGGTTTATGCCTTACTATACCACTGTTTGATATTAGGATAGTGTCATGCTGATACATAATGAAAGTTCAGAATAATCCTATGCACATTTAAAATTAGTAATTAAAATTAACTCTAGATTTAAATTTCTAATTGGTCACTAAGGGAACTTCATCTGGTATCTGTATTCACAAAAAGTGCTCTAGTCCTCCCTCCCTTCCTCCCTCCCTCCCTCTTACTCTCCCTCCCTTTCTCCCTTTTTTTTTCATCTCTACAGTGCCTGGCACATAGTAAATATCATATAAATACTTATTCCCCTTTCCTTCTCCCTAATTAGAAAACTGACATCTTTTAAGTCTACCTAAGGATAGAACTACCATAATACCTTCACTCTACATGAGTTAAATAAATAAAAAATAAATACCCTAATCTCAACCCACTCTTTGCTTGAAAATAATGTAAATATTTAATGCATTTATGTTTAATAGTTGTTCGTTTGTCTAAATGTCTTTGATCTGTCTTTTTACATCAATAATGTTAGTCTGTGATTACAAGTTTCCAAAGGACATGAACTATGCTTCTTTAACTACTGTAAGCATAACACCGTTGCAGACAGCTATTTCAGAGAGTAAATGTTATTAATAATGATTATGATAACTCAGTGATGATGATGATAAGTCATTCAATTCATCAAACATTTGTCAACAGTCTACTATACTCAAAACATCATTTTAGATGGTAAGTGATACAAAGTTAAAAATGATTGTAACAGAATATTATTGTGCTATAAGTAGTGACAAGCAGGATGATTTCAGAAAAACCTGGACAAACTTGCATGAACTGATGCAAAGTGAAGTGAACAGAACCAGGAGAATGTTGTACACAGTACCAGCAACATTGTTTAACGAAGAACTGTGAATGACTTAGCTATTCTTGGCAATACAATGATCCAAGACAATCCCAAAGAACTAATGATGATGCATGCTATCTGCTTCCAGAGAAAGAACTGATATTGTTCAACTGAAGCATGCTATTTTTCACTTTTTTCCTTTTTTTGTTCTTTTGAGTCTTCATGTACAAAATGACTAATATAGAAATGTTTTATATAATTACACATATATATCTGATTGCTTGCTGTCTCATGGGGGGGAGGAGAGGGAGGGAAGGATAGAATTTGGAACTCAACTTTAAAAAATGTTTAAAAAAATTGTTTTTACATGCAATTGGGGGGAAATATATATTATGTATACATATATGCATATGTATATGTATATATGTATACATATGTATATGTGTATATATATATATATATTTTATACAGTCTGGGGGGGGAAGGGCAAAGCCAGGATAGTGGAGTAGCAGGAAGAAACCAAACAAGCACCTCCCCCATTCTCCTTCAGACAGATCTAGAAAATGCATCAAACTGAATCCTGATTGGAAAATTCAAGAAAAAGTCACCATGAATCATTCATCTGCCCCAAGTCTGCACATGGAGACAGAGGTCTTCCAACAATGGGGATGGTAGTCTGGCCAAGAAAGCACTACAGAGCATCCCAGCTCAGGACAAGTCTGGCCATCTTGGCAAGAAGAAGTTTCAGACCCAGACTAAAGCATTGCCTCTTTGTACAGTTGTTGGCAATTGGGTCATGTGTTAACCAGTTCTGGGTCATAGACCCAGGGCTGACTGAGAAGGGGACCTAGGTCTTCAGGTAGCAGGTGGTAGTCAAGGGTAAGGAGCAGTTGCGGTGCCCTGGGCAGCGTATTGGGAGAAGAGGAAGTCCAGAAATGCAGCAGGTGCGGCTTGTATGCATGGAGCCTGATCTGAAGCCACCAGGCGAATGACCAGGGAAGGAATCCCAGATCAAATGGAAGCCTGCGATTCTATCATCTGAACAAGCAGAACTTCTCAGTTGGCTGAGCCCAGCAGCAGACCCAACCAAAACCAAATCAGGAATTTGCAGGTCTCAGAATAGAAGGGAGAGACCAAACTTTGCCCTGGATCAGGCTACTCTGGAAACATGGAAAGTTTGCAGGTCCCCAGCCTGGCTCTGAGATCCTAGAATAACACAACATTCAGCACTCCAGAGAAAGCAAGAACAGAACCAGTCCATACCTTCTTTCCAAGAGCTGCTCAGAGGCAAGCCCTGATATCCAAAGTCTAAAATTAGACTAGAAGAATGAGCCAACAAACAAAAAAGAATCCCACAAAGAAACAAACCCGGAAAAAGAGAATGACTCCAACATTATCCATGAGCAACAATGCAAAGAAAAACATAGCGTGGGGCACAAATTCATAAGTTCACAGAATTCATAATTCACAGAATTTATGAAAGAAATGAAACAGGAGTTTTAAAAAGAGTTAATTTAAAAATAAATGAAAAAGAAATGAGAGCTATGGAAGTGAGAATTGGAAAGGGAATTAATAGTTTGGTACAAGATGTATAAAACCCTGCCCAAGCATCAAACTGTCTGAAAATTAGAATGGACCAAATAAAAGCCAATGACTCCATGAGACAATAAGGAATATTAAATCAAAGTCAAAAGGCTGGAAATACAGAAGAAAATGTATTCTCAGCAAAAGCAACTGGCCTGGAAAACAGATCAATGAGGAAAAAAAATTAACTGGACTAACTGAAGGCCATGACCAAAATTAGACCAAAATTCAAGGAGTCATAAAGGAAAACTGCCCTAGTCTCTTGGAATCAGAGAGTAAAGTAGAAATAGTCAGAATTTAGTGGTCATCTCCTAAAAGAACCCCTAAATGGAAACCTCTAGGAACATTCCAGCCAAAATCCAGAGCTTCCAGGTCAAAGAAAAAGTACGCGCAAGAGCCAAGAAGAAAGAATTTAAATACCAAGGTTCTAACAGTCTGGACACACTCAATTTAGCAGTCCCAATATTAAGGTGCTAAAGGTTGGAATACAGTATTCTCGAAGACAAAGGATATGGGCTTATAGCCAAAAATAACCTAACTCAGCAAAACTGAGTATCATCCTCCAGGGAGAAAAAAAAAATGGGTCTTTCAGGAAATAGAAGACTTCCAAGAACCCTTGATGAAGAGACCAAAGCTGGGTAGAAACTTTGAAGTTCAAATACAGGTATGTAGAGAAACATAGAAAGGTAAATACAAATGAACAATGATAAAGGACTGAACAAGGATAAATTGCATACATTCTATTATGGAGATATGATACATGTGATTCCTCTGAATCCTATCATCATCAGGAGTCACAGAAGGAGTCTAATTAGACAGAAGGCCTGGCAGTGGTTCTGTTATTTCTTGATGATCTTAAAAAGAAAATAGAAAGGGAGGAAAAGAGGAATATAGTGTTGGGGAGGCAGGGATGATGGGAAGACTAGGGAAATTTATCTCACATGACTGGAATGCACAAGTAGAAGTTTATACAAACAACGAGGAAGGGGTGGGAGAGTGATTGCCACTCGAGCCTCACTGTTGTCTAAACTGGTTCAAGGAGGGAAGAAGGTCCACACATGCTGGAATGCAGTTGGGGCCAAAAATATATGTCACTCAACAGGGAAATTGGAAGGAAAGGGAGGATTAGAGGAAGGGCAGAATCAGGGAGGGTCAGTCCTGAGCTAAAGAGACCATAAAGATGTACAAAAATACTTACCTCTCTTTTTGAGGTGACAATGAATGGGAGTGTGAGGAGGAGCCATAAATTGGGGAATGGCTGAGCAAATCATAACATGTACACTTGAAGGAATAAGCATTGTGCTCATAAGAGCTGACGGAGGGAATGGTTTCAGAGAAACCTGGTAAGATTTCTATGACCTGATGCTGAATGAAGTGAATGGAACCAGGAGAAAAATTTATATGAGGGCAGTATTGTGAAGATCAACAACTTTGAAAGACTTAGGAACTCAGCTTAATGACCAAGCATGATTCCAGAGGACTAATAATGAAACATGCTTTAAGACTCAGAGTGCAGAATATACCCATATGTAGAGGGAGACACATATATGTACACACACACATATATTTACACACACATATATGTATGCATGTGCATACGTCTATGGAGAAAGAGAGACACAAATAGAGAGACTGAAAGGAAGAGAGAGAAAGGAGAGATGGCCAATGCAGAAATTGGTTTTGTTTGACTATACATGTTTGTAACAGGGTTTCTGTTTTTCTGTTTCTTTTTTTTCTTCTGATCTCAATTGGGGGGGGTGATGGCAGAGGTGGAAAAGACAGATTTTTGGTAATTGAAAAAAATTAAACTTTAATTAAAAATAAAAATAATGGTCCCTATGATTAACAAAAATTTGTTATTATATAATAAACATTATTTACCAAAATCATAAATTATTGATTTACTAACAGTTTATGACTATGTATAAACAATATATATGAAGTACCTCTTGACCTTTTTGGTCCAAACAGTTTTGTGCATTTGCCAACTCTTGATCTCGAAGATCCAGCCTTGTCTCCAAAGCCCGCATCTTTCTTTCCCAATCCATTTTTTTGTTGCTTACCATGATGTCAATTTGTTCCATTAATTCCTGAAGCTCAGCCTCACATGTGGAAGATCTAAAAATTAGAGAAAACTTTGAAAAAATGCTAAAAAACACTTAAATGTGAAGATGAGAAAAGTAGTTATCGTATTGCTCCAAATAGTTTCAATTCGTTCCAATCATTATTTTCTCAAAATATTCCACCACTAACTGAATAATAAATATGGAGAGCAATTTATTTCCAACTTAAAGCTCATTTCATAACTAATAGATTAAATATCATTAATGTGAAATTTTTAGATGAGCACAGGCCTTAGGTGGGTTATGAGCATAAATGCTAATTGTGACAAAGATAGAACTTACATTAATGAATGTGATCTTGTACATATTTTCATATTGAATAAAATTAAAATAATGGAATTTTAAAGTTAGAAAGGAAGAGACAGTGTGATATAGTAGAAAATATTTAGCTAGAACGGTGAATCCTGGAAATGTTTATTACTTACTACACCTGGGTGATCTGCAGTGGGCTAAACCTTGTCTAGGTTCTAGGCCCTAGTTTCTTTATCTGCATAATGAGGAAGGCTGGGTTAAATTATCACTATGGCTCGTTCTAGCTCTTATTACAATAATTAAAAACTAATGTAGCACTTTATAGATCAGGAAAAAGAAGTCGCGTAATCAGGGCTAAAACCCAGATAGATCTCTTGATTGCCAATCTAAGTGTCCTTCCCACGATAGCATACTGAAAAAGATTTTTTATCATTAGTCAAAACATGTTTGAAGTAAATCAGTGCTAGTCACCTTGATTGTGACATAGGGTAACATAGGATATTAGAACACAAAACACCAAAAATCTACAGAAGTACTTTGGGAGTAGCTCAACCTGAGAAAAGACCATGTCTATACTTCTGGACATCGTATCCTGATGCCAGACAAACAATTAGTTAAAAGGTTCTGTTTTCAAGCCATCCAAACCTAAATGAGAGAAGAGTAGAGATGCTGTACATTCTCTGTTTTCTGCCTAAATTTACAACTGGAGAAAACAATCCATCGATAACTTGGTTAATCCGTGAACTGTAGTTAAGATGTATGTACTTTTTGTTTGGGGAAAGGGAATAAAGGATAAGAAGAGAGTGTGGCCTGGTATCTATTAACTCTGTCTTCTACAATGTGTAGGCAGAATTGTAATGTAGGCCTCAAGTCAACAGTGTATAAGTCTAGCATAAACCTCTCCCCCTCCTTTTAAGTCATCAGGATCATCCACTGAACAAGACTAGGGGCCTCTGCTCTATTCTGTGTCAACAACAATCATATTAATGCTTACAACAATAGCAGCAATAATAATAATGAATGTGTTTATGTGTCTGGTCTTTCAAAACTGTTTCTTCCTTTCCAACTGCCTGCATTATAGGTGTGGAGGTAGTTTCCTTGGATGATTTGAACAATCCTACCTAGTTATACCAGAAAGATTCGTTGGAACTCAGGAAAGATAATTCTAGAAAAATTAGAGTATTTTGTCCATTCTAGAATATGGACATATAGAATATTACTCATCAGGGGAATACCTCTCCTGGGTATCTGTAAGTAAGAAGATAATCTGATTTTAGTATATAGCTGGTATTGGTGATTGTGACTCTCCTGGTGAGATTCCCGACCTCTGGATGAGCTTTTGTGATGCCAGAGTCAGCAGTAGTAGCAGCAACACAGGGGAATAATCTCAGATAATACATCACTAGTTTTATAACTCAGGGAGAACTATGCCTGTGACTAGAGTAGAAGCATTCTCTTCTTCAGTAGGCTGAGACAGTACCCAACGACAGACCAAACTTGAAAAACAGTATGATGAGAGCATCTGTGACAAGGGTTACATTTATACGATGCTTTAAGATTTGTAAAGTGCAAACTTTCCAAACAAATCTATGGACAGGCAGAGTGCTCCCTCCAAACAAGACCTGCTAGTCCCAGTAACTTGGGAAGTGATGAACTAAACACTTTTTTTAACATTGTAAAAAGTTCCTTGACTTGGGAGACCTTCTCTATCAGGAGTTCTTAACCTTTTTGTGTATCATGGACCTCCCTTTGATAGTCTGGTAAAGCTTACGGAACTCTTCTCAGAAATGATGCTTTGAGAGGTTGATAAAAATAAAAATGTGATTTTCCCCCATGCAAGTTCATGGTCCCCCTAAAATCTCCTCATGCACACCTGGGACCTCAGCTTCAGAATTCCTGTTATAAATATGTCATTCTTATCCTGTTGGACTTTCAGAGGTTCAACTACCTGTTGGAAATTTTAATTACTGAATCAAAGAATGAAATATCCTTCTCAAAATATCCTTCTTTCTGCCCTTCAGAAGGTTCTCTTTTATGGTCATTATTAGTGTCATCAGCATTCAAAATATCTACTCTTTCTGTATCACCTACATAAGGCAATAACATTTACTTCCTCAACAGCTTCAACTCATTCTATTTCACACTGTTTGTGAATGATATTTTAGTATCAACATCCTATCTGTGAGGGAGATTCATCTATCAGTTTGGAGAATTGATGCTAAGGTATTTTTGGTGACCTATTCCATAATTTGCATAGTCCTCATCTTTATCAGAAGAAACTTTTCCAAACCAAATTGCAGTTCTCTCACATTTTTCCTTTTGTTTGACTTTAGAATTCTAGGTAAAATCAACATTAAACATTGCATCTTAAATATTTTAACAAAATTAAAAGCTGAGTGTAGTTTCTGCATAATGTATCAATTGTCTCAAGAATAACATTTCATATTCTGAATAACGCTGTGGTACACAGATTAAATCAATGAGTTAGTAAGAACGTAAAATAATACCAGATACTAATTCTACCCTATAATTATCTAGCATAAACAAACAAAAAACCTTGCTATCTTTAGGTAAATGTAGGGGTCTGAAATGTTCTTTCGTGGCAAGTACAAAAATATGATGAAACCAGAAATAAATGTGTCCATCCAACCAAGAAAATTCACTTCTGTTATTAGTTAAAGGTTTTGGTTTATGAATGTCTGAAACATTATCAACCTGAGTTAGTCTCTTTAAATATAGGGCAGAGTTGATTTACTAGGACCTAGACTAAGGTAGACTTTTGTAAACATTGACAAAATAGTTTTATCAGCATTGTATAACACTTCAGGAAATTATTCAAAAATAGTTATCTGGAAAACCATGAAATTATTCTTCTGCGTCATGGTGTGCTGACCATTTTTGTCAACATAGTTGACCTTCTAATGTTGTGCCTTGTTTTGCCAAAGTCGTTTTTCAGAAAATATAAATGCCTTCGTACACTTTATTTACTTATAAAAATATGTTGCCTTTTAAATTAGCATTGGGACCCTCTGGTCTATTTACTGAGAACCACTATACAAAGTAGGTATAGATGCTATACATACAATGCATCTATGACATATTCTTTATTATCGTCCCCATTTTATGGATGAATTGAGGCTGAAAGAGGTTAAGCACCTTGCTTATGGGTTCCCCAGCTAAGAAGTGTCTATGGGATTTAAATTTCATTTATCCTAACTCCAAGTACGATGTTCCATCCAAGACACCATCAAGCTGGTAGAGTGAAGTCAAATTGTGAAGGGCTTTCAATGCTAAGTAGAAAAGCTTGTATTTGTTCTTAGAGGCAAAAGGGAATCAGAGGAGTTTATTAAGTAGGAGATTGACATGATTAGACCTACACTTTGGAAAAATCACTTTGGTAGCTGTGTGGAGGATGGATTGGAGTAGGGAAAGATTTAAGTAGGCAGACCAATTAAAAGCCTAGTAATAGTCCAGCAAGAGGTGATAAAGGCATGATCTGGAGAGATAGCAAAGTGAGTGGAGAGAACAACATGAGAGAGATGTTGCGGAATAACAACAACAAGATTTGGTAACTGTTTGGATATATGCGATGAGCAAGAGTGAAGAGTCAAAGATAACAACTGGGTTAAGATCTATAGGTGGCTTAGAAGGATGGTGGTACTTTCAACAGTGAAAGAAAGTTCAGAATAGGATGGATTTATGGGAGAAGATAATGAGTTCAGTTTGAAACAACCCAAAGGCAGACTAAAGCTAGCTACACAGATGATAATTGAATCCTGGTGATTAAAGTCACCAGGAGAAAGGCTCTATAGAGAAAAAGTTATACCATTCTATAACACTTATGTTACAATATAAATTGTTCTGCCCTGAGTTTACTGTATTTATTAAAAATGAACAATTTTTGAAGACTTTAATAAACTAATGAAAGATGAATGAGCAGAACCAAAACAATAAACTAATGAAAGATGAATGAGCAGAACCAAAACAATTTACATAACAATATCACTGTTAAATTAAATAACTTTGAAAGCTATAAGAACTATGATCAATTCAAAGACCATTCATGATTTTAGATGACCAATAATGAAGCATGCTATACATGACAAAGAGGTGACAGATTTAGGGTGCAGAATGAGATATATACATACATATATGTTAATATATATGTGTGTGTATATATACACATATATACAGTCAATTCTCAACTTTCATGGAAGTAATATTTCTAAAAAATGGCAAAAAAGTAAAAAAAATATGAATGTTGATACATTGATCCTATGGAAATAGGGAATTAGGCTCCCATGACCACCAAAAACTATAAGCTTTTACTAAAAATTGCTGAAAATACACTTTTCTACATACAATTCTTTATAGCAAAACATTAATTCTAATAATATGTACTTTTCCTAAGATGGTAACCATGAAATAATCCATGAAACACAGTACATAAAATAAAATTGGTAATATGCAAAAATATTTTTTGTCACTAGTAATTCCTTAAAATTCTATGACCTCTCAACCAAAAAAATATTGATTTCAGTCAATATTCACTTTCCATAACACATGAAATCTATAGTACCATGTGGCTAATAAAATTCTTAAAGCTACATTTTTTAACCTGAATCTTATCTTCCACTGCATCAGATAGCAGCGTGAGAGCATTATACTGTATTTATGCTGCTGTGAACTTCTGTACATTGGCTACCCTCTGAAAACCATGGGAGAGATTGCTGGGACTTTGGT